CGTTCGTTCTTGCAATGTGCCAGCTGCCAAAGTGTGCATTCGCAGCAGCGCTATTTTTGAATTATGTCATCATTGATCACGTGATCACGCGCGATTGTTGCTAGCGCTAGCTCCGCGGATCTGGAAGTGGTACGCATGCATACGTGTAGCGTGACTTGCCTGTGATAGTTTTCTGTGATCTGCGGTTTTGCACTGGAAGCGCACTTGTACTTTTGACCTCTTCACACTTCTCTTTTTGGCAATGCGTGTCCTGAACTTCTCTGCAAACATTTCCGCTGATCCCGCGCGGGGTTCTCACGCACCATATACGCGTACGGTGCAGTATGGAATTTTGCACTTGTTTATTTTCCTGTATCCTTTTCTGGTTTCCTAGCACCTTTTCGGGACTGTTCCTCTGGGCAAGAGGTAGCCTTGTCTTGGTGGCTTTCTTGTTCATGGTACAGTTTTTCTTTGGTGCTCTTAGAGTTTGCTGCGTCTTTCTTGTATTATTATCAAATCTACACTATCGTCATATGGCCCAACTTCTGCGAAAACGAGGTTTAGGGCGAAAATAATTTTTAGGAGAAAAAATGATGTTTTGCAAAAAGGTTGTGTCGCGTGGCTGCTCGAGTGCAGTGAAGTGGAACCAAAGAGAATATCGATTGTGTGAAGAAGTAGCAGTCATGGCAGGAAGGGATTCAGCAGTCAGGGAAGTCAAAGGGTAGAATATTCCCTGCTACTCTTCTAGTCATGACGAAGAGGTTTTGAGCTGATCAAACCCGATTCAATCTCTCCTACACTCAGGGACGGCGAAATTTCTGCGCTAGCTGCTGGTGCGGAATATGGTTAAGAAATCGTGTCCAGTTCGAGCCGTGATGGCGATAGCGAGGAGAACCTGGACAACGTCGATCTAGCCAATCGAAGTACGGAGGTACTAGCTGTTTCTGGGCCTCACGCAAAGGGAACACGTGCAGCAGAGCTCATGCGTTCGCAGCTAGTTCACGAAGAAAAAGGCTTGAAGCGCGATGAAGTGCTACTGAATGACAGGCGAATGAGGGAGCAGATCGAGAGGCCCCCACTCGAGACTTTCCTTGCTGGGCAGCTAGCTGCATGGGATTGTACGGCATGCCGGGATTTCACTTGCTGGTCAGCACAAAGCAGACACTGCAGCACGCCAGCACACTAATTAAAGCCTGTCTTGTTAGGAAGCCTGTTTTGAATACAAGCCTGGTTTGAAGACAAAACATAATTTGCATATGGAAGCATAGTGATGGTGAGGCGTTTGCCCTCAGCTGACTTAAGGTCTTGGCATCATGGGGACAAAAAATGCACCAAAAAAATGAACGAAGATGTTGTGACTTTGGTGGCAGAGTGATTGGTAAAGAAAGTGTCTGCTCCAAGTAACTGGTGGTGTCAAGCCTAGTTCACATTCGACGCAGCGCCGACGGTACGGGAAGTAAGGGCTTGTCGGGAGGGCTGGGGTGAGCTGTAAAATCCTGTACAATTCGTACGACACGACATGCAGCAGTCGTTGCGACGTTTAACGTCGAACGGCGCGAGTCGTAAGGCACGGTCCGTGACAGGGTGACTTTCGGACCTAATTTCTCGTTTTTCAGGACTTCTTTTCAATTATTTCTCCTTGAAAGAAGCGGAATCAAGTTCACAATACCAGTTCTTCATGAAGACCAAAAAATCAGCCCTGAAAGTTTAGGCATTCAAATAATAGCCCGAGGAAATGATAGAATAGTTCGTCTGTCACGTTTCTAAACTATCCCTAAAATATAATAAGTGACATGAGATCTTATCAATAAACTGTTGAACGGTACCTTTCGGCTGTTGAATAATACAAGAAACTAACTCTCCTCCTCCATGCGCTCTAAAGCCGACCAATGCTATCCTCGGTAGCCATTACTCACACCAATAACTTCAAACAACGAAGGGTCGGCTTTAGAGCGCATGGAGGAGGAGAGTTAGATTCTTGTATGAGATCTTATGTTGCTAAAATTCAACTCAAGTCAAGCTAGCCATTCTGTGAGTTATCATGGGATGCTCAGTGTTCGAAATGCTAACAATTTCCAAGTACGAATCGGGAGTAGTCGGCGCACTACGCCGTCTCCTGTTCACACTCAAATTGCAGCCGCTGTGTCGCTTGCGTCCCCGTCTACGCCCGTCTGCGGTATGAAAAGTTGCATCGATCCAAGTCTTCCCGTTGCTTCCCGATCTGTACGATAGTACGGTTGCGTTCCAGTTCCTGGTGTACACATTGGACGCCGTCAGACCGTCCCGTCGCTTCCCGTCGATCCTTACGTCGCGTCCCGTCGCGCCCGTCGACTGTGAACTAGGCTTTAGTGGACATTATAGCGTATCTTGTAGCTCTCTGGTCCTTTTCTTTGCTATAAATTTATTCTTGTCTCTCCATCCGAGTCCATCTTTGCACACCTGACGAGCCGTCCTTATTTGTACTGCAAAACGATTGTCGTGTGAAACTGCTGCTTGTTAAGGTTGGTTCACATAAGCCAAATCGGCGCCGGGAAGCACTGGCGGTGAGCCAGCTCGCTGTTTCTCCTGTATACGGTTCGAGTACTGCTGTAGTACCAAATTTATTTCAAAGTAGTGCAGAATCAGATCATGAAACTACTTCTACACTATTCATTGCAGTCTAGTAAGCGGTAGTGTCGAAGTTCTGCATTCAAACATTGATGAAGTCACAAGAGCTTGCGAATGCATCCTTCATATTTCTATTTCTTTCAATTATATTTTGTCTAATAAGCTGCACCCCAGTCAAGCCGATCATCCGGGAAGGACGGGTTGGTATGCTGACTTTATTTGCCACGTTGATGCGACTACAAGAATGGCGAACGTATCTCATCCTTAGCTTCCATTTAGGAAAATTTAGGATGAGTCTTGGTTTGAAAATTTGACAAAGTCTGGGTCCCGGCACCGGCGATCATCAGCGCGAACGGTTCACAAACCACTTTTGGTCAAAATTGTACGGGATTGGTGCCGGAGCAGATTGGGATTGCAAGAGTTGAGCCTGCCCAACTTTGCCGCTGGACCCATGCGATTAGTTACAGTGTGATTTTGTTACGATTGCACTGGTTAACATCATTGCAATGCACTGGGAGAGGTTGCAAGAGGCCCACCGCCGGTGGCTCCCGGCGTATACCGGCGATATATGAACCAACCCCAACTGCTGCTCATTGTGCATCCAAATTGTCATAGTTGAAGTACAGTACAGTTTTTCTGAGACGTTCAGTTTTGCATGATTCGAGGTCTCTCAGCTTCTTATTCATTTGATCTTCGAATCTTTAGCGCCACACAAGTTGCATGGTATGTTGTCTTGCGTCCTTGAATCGCGGTTTGACGAATGGTCTTGCCCGTATCGTCATTGGCAAGCGTGTACATCCGCCAACGACCTTCACAACGCTTGTGCTTATCTTGGTTGCGTGCACCTTCCCCTCCTATGTTATTCCTATAACTTCAAATCTTCCAAGTCTGAAGGCTGTTGGAGTGCCCATCCAAGACGTGCTAGAGTTGATTGTCAGTTAGGTGTCCTACTCAATACAAAATAGGGTGGATTACAGTATAATGTTAGGCTAGACAGTCACCAGTCAGTTATCCACTGATTGCCTCCATCCATTATTACAGAATGATTCGCACCCATTTAGGATGAAATGGGCTTTTACGATAGCAAATTGTATCCATGTTACTGACAACAGACTGTTTTCTATTTTACACGTAATTTCAACATGGGTTTTTAACCTTTTGCACCCCGCGCCCGAGTATACTCGTTTTGTAGCATGCCCTGCTTTCCCAAGCCCGAGTATACTCGGGTAGAAAATGTACTGTATGTACAGTGAACTCGGATTGCGTACACCTCGCTATTCAAACCTTCGTAACTCTGTTATACTTTCTTCGATTCTAACATCTGACGGCTCGTTGGAAAGCTGAAGGAATAAGCTTTCCAATGGTATGTCGTTTGCTGGAGCGAAAAGTAAAATACCGGAGCGCCGAAGGTGGAAACGCAATTCACGGCCGAATTACAGGGCACAATATTTCGCACCTTGGATTTTCGAGCGGACATCGGCAGGGAAGGGACTTTCCCTAGACTCACAGGGGCACAGCCCATGCGTGTTGGGTACCAAAATGAGCGCTTGAACTTCAGGAATCTGAGAGAGTTTGAATTTTTGCTCTGCGCTGAGTAAAACTGTAGAAGCGAAGAAATTTGTGACTAGGTGTGGAATATCTCTTCTAGGCCCGATAGAGGAGCTCTCAACGGAGTGTGAAGGCAACTCTATTGCTCCTGCTGAGTGATTCTTCCATTGGTTTGGACAGAGAAGGCTTCAAGCTTTCCAAAGAGCCCAAGATGATCAACTTCCGTTCCTGGTTAGTGAAGTTAGAATTTTTCAAATCACAGGTCTGCTCTGCAAGGCGATAGAGAGAGAGGCGCAGCGATCGGACTGGGAATTCATGGTTTCAGGCCGGGGTGGAAAAGGTTAAGTGGTCACGCCCATATCATTGACATTGTGCAATAATCCATGGTTGTCGATCTTCATAATAAGAGAAGTTAAACAAGAGTGTGCAACTCCGGGATGGGTTTGCCCGTGGTGGAATTGTTTGTTGACGTAATATTTTCTACGACGCACGCGCTGCGAGTTTTTTGGAAAGCTTTGCCTCGGGCACTTGGCCGAGCTTTATATAACAAGGTCGGTGCCCAGCACGTGCTCTCGCACTGTTCTGCAGCAAAATGCGTGTTTTTTCCGAAACAAAGGTGACGTCAACAAAAAATTCCGCCCTGGGCAGTTTATCTGCAGATTATGCAGAAGAGATCCGGAGTTGCACACTCTTGTTTATCTACTCTTGATAATATGGATCCGAGGTTCCGACCTAAGGCAGAAGTCAATGTGGTTCATCTGCATTGACTCTGTTGCAGTACAGGCAAAACCCAGGTGTCTCTGATTAGTACCCGAGCCAATCTTGAGTCATTCTTCAATGTACAGGTAGAGTGGTGTGCAACTTACATCGTCAGTCTTGTCCACCTTGGCTTTACACTTGACAAGATGCTTGGCAATGGCAATTTGACCCATCCCACATGCCATATGTAGTGGAGTGTACCTCCGTCCACCCTAGTAAGAAGAACACACGTAGTGATAGGATGTGTACACCCACACACAACACGCATGTACAGACCCCAGGCCAAACAACACGCACAAGCACACACCATTGACCATTTGACCATTTGACACCCATTGCCAGAGGCGATGATAGCGATGCTACAGCAGAAGCCATAGCAACTTGTGCCGGGATTGCATCATTCTACAGCTTGCAAGGTTGAAGAATTGACCGTCACTATAGGCCGCAGAAGTCTGAAGTCACAGCTTCTTGCCAACGCGGAGTTACTTGGCCAAGTGGTGACAAACAAAAGTCTCGTCACCTGCACTGGTCGTGTTTCCAGTGGCAGCAGCATGCAGTGAACACAGCTACATCATCATTTGGAGTGAGGAGCGCGCGGGCGCGCGAGACTTATATATCTCAAACCAACTGCTACTTGTCGCTGAGTTTGTAGTTTTCGCTTTGTAGAGAAGGAGAAGCCGTAGCGGATTTATTGCTTGGCCACTGCTGTGCCTGTACTGTCGTTCGGCTTCACATGTAGTTGCCGACCAAGAAGCAATGATGGGTGTCTCTGTTATTTCTATCGCAGCGATCGCTGATTTCTTTGAGTTCTGAGATCAACCAATTCTGGGCTCGTTTCCTTGTCCAGCGGTAAGCGAAAATCAGAGCCCCTATCTCTCAGGTGCTGGTGAACACTCAGCAGGAAAACACTGAACTATGCCTTGAGAGCGAAGGAGAAACTTCTTGAAGTAAAACAAAATTTGAAGTCGCGATCTTGCACCAGCGCGCTCCAGTCAAAGTGATGTCGTGACCATTGGAAACACGACAAGTGCAGGTGACGCGACTTTTGTTTGTCACCGCATGGCCTTGTAACTACGTGTAACTACGAGTTTTCAGGCAGCGTGACGTAGGCACTTCAACAGCCTATTCAGCCTGGTCTACATCACACTGCTATGAACTGGCTTTTTCTGGCCAATGAATCCCTTCTTCTTTTTTGGTCTTTTTCCTTTTTTCCTGCATGTACATTACACGACATACTCTGGCCAGCACTGGCTGTTGGTAACCACCCAGGAGCAATCACCCACACACACACACACGCACCCCCCCCCCCCCCCACACACACACACCCGCCCACCCCCCCCCCCCCACACACACACACGCACACAAACACCCACACACACACACACGCATGCACGCATGCACGCACTCACCCGCATGCACGCACACACACACACACACGCACACCCACACACACACGCACGCACCCACACACACAGACACACACACACACACACACACACTTGTACCGTAAAGTACTGCCAGAGCGCCCTACCAATCGTCCTTTCGTGGTCGCTCTGGGGAGGCAGGGTGGCCGCGAGTGTGTGAGGTGGTCTGTACTGGGGTCATACACATACCTACACAGCGACTGTCGCAGTGAAGCAACAGCTGTTTGGTGAAGGTAAATTCCATGGTGTTCGAGCTGGCTGCAGCGCTAGGCACTGCGGTTCATATGGCTCACCTTTCAAGTAAAATGCGATGCAACCCCAATATTGCAAAAACAAAATGAACCCCGTACCACTTCAGTCGCACCAGGCTATACGATGTTCATTTCTACTGCCGGAAACGAGAGTCCTCATTCCGTAATTCAGGGTGGGGCGCGGTCGTGAGACGGGGCTTTCTGGCAGTACTTTATGGTACTTCTACTTGCTCACTGCCAGAACTGGTCACTGCCAGAACTGGTCACTGCCAGAACTGGTCACTGCCAGAACTGGTCACTGCCAGAACTGGTCACTGCCAGAACTGGTCACTGCCAGAACTGGTCACTGCCAGAACTGGTCACTGCCAGAACTGGTCACTGCCAGAACTGGTCACTGCCAGAACTGGTCACTGCCAGAACTGGTCACTGCCAGAACTGGTCACTGCCAGAACTGGTCACTGCCAGAACTGGTCACTGCCAGAACTGGTCACTGCCAGAACTGGTCACTGCCAGAACTGGTCACTGCCAGAACTGGTCACTGCCAGAACTGGTCACTGCCAGAACTGGTCACTGCCAGAACTGGTCACTGCAAGAACTGGTCACTGCCAGAACTGGTCACTGCCAGAACTGGTCACTGCCAGAACTGGTCACTGCCAGAACTGGTCACTGCCAGAACTGGTCACTGCCAGAACTGGTCACTGCCAGAACTGGTCACTGCCAGAACTGGTCACAGCCAGAACTGGTCACAGCCAGAACTGGTCACAGCCAGAACTGGTCACAGCCAGAACTGGTCACTGCCAGAACTGGTCACTGCCAGAACTGGTCACTGCCAGAACTGGTCACTGCCAGAACTGGTCACTGCCAGAACTGGTCACTGCCAGAACTGGTCACTGCCAGAACTGGTCACTGCCTGAACTGGTCACTGCCTGAACTGGTCACTGCCAGAACTGGTCACTGCCAGAACTGGTCACTGCCAGAACTGGTCACTGCCAGAACTGGTCACTGCCAGAACTGGTCACTGCCAGAACTGGTCACTGCCAGAACTGGTCACTGCCAGAACTGGTCACTGCCAGAACTGGTCACTGCCAGAACTGGTCACTGCCAGAACTGGTCACTGCAAGAACTGGTCACTGCCAGAACTGGTCACTGCCAGAACTGGTCACTGCCAGAACTGATCACTGCCAGAACTGGTCACTGCCAGAACTGGTCACTGCCAGAACTGGTCACTGCCAGAACTGGTCACTGCCAGAACTGGTCACAGCCAGAACTGGTCACAGCCAGAACTGGTCACAGCCAGAACTGGTCACAGCCAGAACTGGTCACTGCCAGAACTGGTCACTGCCAGAACTGGTCACTGCCAGAACTGGTCACTGCCAGAACTGGTCACTGCCAGAACTGGTCACTGCCAGAACTGGTCACTGCCAGAACTGGTCACTGCCTGAACTGGTCACTGCCTGAACTGGTCACTGCCAGAACTGGTCACTGCCAGAACTGGTCACTGCCAGAACTGGTCACTGCCAGAACTGGTCACTGCCAGAACTGGTCACTGCCAGAACTGGTCACTGCCAGAACTGGTCACTGCCAGAACTGGTCACTGCCAGAACTGGTCACTGCCAGAACTGGTCACTGCCAGAACTGGTCACTGCCAGAACTGGTCACTGCCAGAACTGGTCACTGCCAGAACTGGTCACTGCCAGAACTGGTCACTGCCCGAACTGGTCACTGCCAGAACTGGTCACTGCCAGAACTGGTCACTGCCAGAACTGGTCACTGCCAGAACTGGTCACTGCCAGAACTGGTCACTGCCAGAACTGGTCACTGCCAGAACTGGTCACTGCCAGAACTGGTCACTGCCAGAACTGGTCACTGCCAGAACTGGTCACTGCCAGAACTGGTCACTGCCAGAACTGGTCACTGCCAGAACTGGTCACTGCCAGAACTGGTCACTGCCAGAACTGGTCACTGCCAGAACTGGTCACTGCCAGAACTGGTCACTGCCAGAACTGGTCACTGCCAGAACTGGTCACTGCCAGAACTGGTCACAGCCAGAACTGGTCACAGCCAGAACTGGTCAAAGCCAGAACTGGTCACTGCCAGAACTGGTCACTGCCAGAACTGGTCACTGCCAGAACTGGTCACTGCCAGAACTGGTCACTGCCAGAACTGGTCACTGCCAGAACTGGTCACTGCCAGAACTGGTCACTGCCAGAACTGGTCACTGCCAGAACTGGTCACTGCCAGAACTGGTCACTGCCAGAACTGGTCACTGCCAGAACTGGTCACTGCCAGAACTGGTCACTGCCAGAACTGGTCACTGCCAGAACTGGTCACTGCCAGAACTGGTCACTGCCAGAACTGGTCACTGCCAGAACTGGTCACTGCCAGAACTGGTCACTGCCAGAACTGGTCACTGCCAGAACTGGTCACTGCCAGAACTGGTCACTGCCAGAACTGGTCACTGCCAGAACTGGTCACTGCCAGAACTGGTCACTGCCAGAACTGGTCACTGCCAGAACTGGTCACTGCCAGAACTTGTCACTGCCAGAACTGATCACTGCCAGAACTGGTCACTGCCAGAACTGGTCACTGCCAGAACTGGTTACTGCCAGAACTGGTCACTGCCAGAACTGGTCACTGCCAGAACTGGTCACTGCCAGAACTGGTCACTGCCAGAACTGGTCACTGCCAGAACTGGTCACTGCCAGAACTGGTCACTGCCAGAACTGGTCACTGCCAGAACTGGTCACTGCCAGAACTGGTCACTGCCAGAACTGGTCACTGCCAGAATTGGTTACTGCCAGAACTGGTCACTGCCAGAACTGGTTACTGCCAGAACTGGTCACTGCCAGAACTGGTTACTGCCAGAACTGGTCACTGCCAGAACTGGTCACTGCCAGAACTGGTCACTGCCAGAACTGGTCACTGCCAGAACTGGTCACTGCCAGAACTGGTCACTGCCAGAACTGGTCACTGCCAGAACTGGTCACTGCCAGAACTGGTCACTGCCAGAACTGGTCACTGCCAGAACTGGTCACTGCCAGAACTGGTCACTGCCAGAACTGGTCACTGCCAGAACTGGTCACTGCCAGAACTGGTCACTGCCAGAACTGGTCACTGCCAGAACTGGTCACATGAGTCTCCCCCCGAACAGGGGAGAGAGACTGAAAAGGAACCTTGGGAAGATGACTCATTTGGCTATTAAACCGCCCAACGGCCGACACCCCCTGAAACCCCAAACTCTGGTGGTTGGACTTGGAAATGATCCCACTTATGGGCTCACCACACCTCAGTAAGTGGGTGAGGACAAGGTGCAGAGAACGGATTGACGATATCACGGTATCCACACCGGGATCCAACTGCAGTTACCCCCGCAATGGGGTCAGGTTATGGTCATCTCAACATAACTTGGCCATAGTTGTATAATATTATTTGCACTTTTGAAACCTATTTGAAATGACATTGTTAACACCACAGGAATACATGAATTGACCCATTGCACATTGCCAAATATGGAATGTATGAGTAATGCGTGTGAGTACGCTGGGATCAGGAATGCACTGTGTTCAACACCCCAGACGACCATGCCCCGGTGGCTGTGACGGGTGCTTATGGTACAAATTACGTCATTGCGCAATGGGTTCATTGTTCAACCCAAACAGGTTATCACACTGTTCTGAAGACAGGAGTCAGTATCTTCCTCTGCACTTTGGATCTGACAATTTCAAAAGTATTTCAAAGTTCTGCACCACAGTACTGCCGGGCGCCGAAGAACGGAGAGCGTCGAAGAGCGACTAGGCTAGAACTTTACCTAACACAGCATACCAATGTATACATGGTAACTCAAACTGTGCATAGACTGTAGTACATGATAATAAGAATTGTCTAGGCTAGGAGGCTGATCCCTCAGTTCTTCGGAAACCAACAGTACTGTAGCTAAGTTGCTAAGTTACGCTGAGTCATGTGTCTACTTCCTGAATGCAGTGTTTTACTCATATCTGACATAAAATCAGGTGATGGAATAAAACTTTCATATTTTAAAAAATTACTTCATGTATCACAATTATATGCCCCCTAACTAATCCACCCCCTAACTACCCCACCCCCTAACTACCCCACCCCCTAACTACCCCACCCCCTAACTACCCCACCCCTAACCTCCAGGAAAGAAGTAATCACATGCACAGATTTCACATGCATGCAACCACTTCGACTTTCACATCTAAAGCCAGTCAGTGTAAGTTATAGGCGATTCACACGACAGGCAAATCCACGTGCACCGGAACGTTGCTATGGTATTTCACCTGTGAATGAGAAAAGTGGCTGAAATGTGCAAGCGAGCTGGGGGCCTACTTTCACATAATCGTGGCGTGCACGAGTACATTTACACCAAAAAACGTGAAACAAGACTCGATTTTTTATGCGGCTCTTTTCACCGTCATAATTATTGTACGTATGTTTTGAAAATTTGAAATAGTCATGGCAGCTGGTGGATGAATCATTCAAATATGCAAACGTGACTATCGTTGAGTGCCTGTCGTTGAGTGCAGCCATGTGAATCCACACAGTCACTTTCCTCGTGAATCACTCGCTGTAAAACGTGTGGCTGTCGTGTGAATCACCTATTACAGAGCAGTGTGCTTGGTAACTGGGGCAGTGTCAGCAATGCATATCCAAGCACTCATGCACATACACCTACATATGCTTTCGTATAGCGATAAAACTGGTTGATCACTGTTTCTCCGCAACAGTCCGCAAGGATGTAGGCGCACTCCAGCCGGCCATCATCGCAGGCATTGAATAGCAACCGACCCTGGTATGGAGGAATGGCATGAACACGAAATCAAGCAACATACACACATACACACACACACGCGCGCGCGCGCACATACGCACCCCCGCACCCTCCCCCCCCCCCACGCACACACATCACCACACATATACACACGCACACATGCACATGAACACATGCACGCACTCACACCTGGTCCTGTTCCTGGTATACACTGCCATGTAGCTCACGTGTTATCACACACACGCATGCACTCACACCTGGTCCTGTTCCTGGTATACATTGCCATGTAGCTCACGTGTTATCACACACACGCATGCACTCACACCTGGTCCTGGTCCTGGTATACACTGCCATGTAGCTCACGTGTTATCACACACACGCATGCACTCACACCTGGTCCTGGTCCTGGTATACACTGCCATGTAGGTCACGTGTTATCACACACACACACACACGCACGCACGCACGCACACACACACATACTGTACTATACTGTACTTGTACTTGCTCACTGCCAAAACTGGTCACGTGGGTCTCCCCGGGAGAGGGGAGAGAGACTCAAAAGAATCTTGGAAAGAAGACTCAACTGGCTATTGAACCGCCCAACGGCCGACACCCCATGAAATCCCCAAACCTCTGGGTGGACGCAAAATGATCCCACTTATGGGCTCACACACCTCAGTAAGTGGGCGAGGACAAGATGCAGAAAAAGAATTGACGGCATCATGGTATCCGTACCGGGATCCAACTGCAGTTACCCCTGCCCCCAGTGAAGGTAATACTTGCTACTAGTGTGGGTGGCTAAATCAGAGTTGACCTGATATGCTTCACTAGCACCATTGATTACCCAAGAGTTAACCCTTTGCGTGCGGATGGTGTGTATACACGCGCCTGAACCCCATACCGGTTCTCAGATGACATGTATACACGCGCTTCGGTTTGCGTCGTGTAAGTGGTGAATAGACCAGTTTACAAGCTTCCGTTACTCTGTGAAAAAGCATCCGATCTCCACAAACGACACACCACTGGAAAGGCATTGAGCTCAGCTTTCCTGATATATAAAGGTCTTCGCAAAGATGACTGACTTGGCTGTTTTTGGTTAGGCCACACTTTGTTTTTTCTATGTTTCTCGTCGGCAAATTTTAACAAAAGGTATGCGGGCGGGCGGAAAAAAAACAAAAGCCAAGGAAAAAACAAGAACAATTTCTACTGAAAACTGTGTACATTTTATATGTTACTATATATGCATATGCGTGATTCATACAAGACACTGCCATGTACATGTCCCATACATGATTATTATTATTATCATTCACACATATCCGCCGGATGAGTACGCGTGGCCCATGCACCATGGGGACCCACGAATACAAACCAGCATATGTTCCCTCAGCAATACAAGCAAGCAAGCACGCAAAGATAAATGAGAGCCCAGGCAGCGAAAACAAAACGAAGAGAGATGAGGACATAGGCAACGAAAACAATTCCAAAGCATAGCCAGGGATTGAATGTGTGCATCTGGGTACGACAGTTAACACGGCTAGTGCAGCCGTACAGAGCGCAGCAGCATGTAAATACAAAAGCGCCACAGCAGCAGCAGCCAAGAGTGTGCAAACACTAAAAAAGAAGATCAGTCCATGAAAAAATTATTGTCGCCACAGGTAGACATCTCCGGCAAGAATGCATGCGTGCGCACAAGTAGGCAGGTAAGCATGTCAGATGTAATCGTATTATTATGGCCAGGCTAATTAACAGTGCTGTTTCGCAATGAATTCCATCGGCATTTATCATACGCCACCTTCCGAAGCTGGGCTAGGCCAGGTCGCGACAGAAGCACAAGCCCCAGCTTCTCCCGACAATCCAGTGAGAGAGTGGTTAGCAGTGTTGTTCTTGGTCTGCCTATCCTTCCCCGCAAGGCACCAGAAGCAGCAAAATCGAGAGCGACCTGTGGCGGTGCCCCTGATGGCATCCGGAGCACATGCCCCAGGAAGCTCCATCGCCTCGCCGCGATCTCCTTGGAGATGGGTTGGGTGCGACAGCGGTTGTAGAGTTCCGTGTTTTTGATTATATTTGGATACTTTATACGGAGTAGCGAGCGGAGGTGACGGCGGTGGCAAACGTCCAGAGACGTTCTGAGTGCCTCAGTGAGGCCCCAGGTGGCGCAGTTGTAAAGCAAAAGGCTTAGAACGTAGCAATTGTACAGCCTCAGCTTCAACGTTAGGGAGATCCGTGATGACTGTAGAAGGCTTTGCATCCGGCCAAATGACTGCGATGCCAGAACCATTCGGTGTTTGATGTCCTCGGCAGTACCAGCTCTCGATCCAACCGACTTTGCCATCCGCCATTCTTCTTTCCCTCTTTTTTCCAGGTCTGCATCGAGGTAGAAGTGGGTCCGTTCAGTTTTCGTGCCGTTGACCATCAATTGGTGTTCTGGCATCTTCAGCACGCATACGTCATGGGTTTGTTCAAGATTTTGGTCATTTTCATCGAGGAAGTCAAGATCATCTGCGTACTGAAGTTCAGGGATAGACGGTGCTAGGCCTGTACTTTCTCTTCGGAACTGATGTCTCCCAAGGGTCCATGTAGCAGCCTTCGTCCAATTGTTCTTCTGAATTCAGTTAGAAAGATCCTGTCAAGTATCACACTACGACGGATTCAACACCAGGTGGAACAGTACCTGCCATCCTCACAGAGTGCGTACAGACCAGGCCGGTCGACGAGTGATATTGTATTCACTCTTCGTATTCTCAGCAGTTTAGTAGAAAATAAGCAGTGGTCATTCAACAAGCTGGGCATCGACCTCTCCAAGGCCTTTGACACTCCGCATAGAAACAGCCTGCTTGAATCAATCCTCACTGCAGCGCCTGGCGTACCTGATGCTCGAGCCATGGTCTCAACGCTGCTTGTAGACACAACGCTCAGTGTTCGAGTATGCGGACAGACTGCAGACGCCTTTCAATCTGGCATTGGCACACCACAGGGAGATTGCCTGAGCCCTGTCCTGTTTACGTGCTACTTTGAACATACATGATTGCACTACACTATCACATCAGCCCTCGAATATCAGGCAAACTGCAACAATGAGAGTATAAAGTAATTAGTTTGATGAATACGAGATGGCGAAGAGAACATAAAATTTATCTGCTATCGCATCAACAAACGCTTTCCCACTCGTCATTTTTGGTTTTGTTACTTCAACGTTCCTGTGTCCGCTTATCAAACTCTTGTCCCCACGCTGCTCATCTTTTCCTCGCCATGCGTCTGTTGCTTGGATTTTCTGCCCACGACATCATCCCACAGACGCCAGTTGCCACAGAACTCGTCCAACTTACGGTATTCCTTGGACCCGCGAGGCTCAGGCAGTGAACGACTGAAAGCTTCGTCATGGCAGCCTTCATCGCAGAGAACGGACGGGGATCGCTCCTTTGCTGCTGTGTGGTGCAAACGTTTACGATTTTGATTGACGCATCTAGTTGCTGCAGCATGTGCAGCGCACATACATGTACGTAGTATGAACTTTTTTTTTCTTCCGAAAATTCTGAAAACCTACTCGGGCGATGACGAGAAACATAGGAAAAACAAAGTGTGGCCATATTTTCAAATAATCCAGTCAGTCATCTTTCCAAGATCGAACAGAGCG